TGCATACATGTATGTATGTATGCTCGCGTCATTCGATCATCGCATTGACCCTACCGATAAGCGACTGCACTCGTAATAGCGTTTCTTTAGCGTGTTGCTCGAGTACCATCGTCGATGCTCCACTCTTGGGTATATCGCGTACGAGTTCCGTGGCCAACTTGGCATAGCCTTCCGATTCCTCGCGTAACAAGTTGAACTTTTGCTGCTTGTAGATCATCTTCGTTCTACGTCGAATGCATTCTGTTTCAAATGCTTTTGCGGGAAATCTCGGCAACGCCTTACTTAACAGATCGATACTAAAGCGTTCCTGCATGATTGATTCCGTTAGTAGGCCTTGTCCCTTGAGCATGGAGATCAGTTGAACGAGAGCGGTCCATTTCTTCTTTTTCACCTCCTCGTCCGGCTCCATTTCATCGATTTCTGCATCAGCCACCCATATCGCATCCACCAATAACGATTCAATGTTAGATAAGGGAGGTAACGCTGCTGTTGCTGTTGCTGTTGCTGTTGTATTATTATTGGATGTTGATTCAGCATTGCCATCACTATCATTGTTATTGCCAGTGTTATTGTTATTAAGTGATTGCATTAACGTAAGATTCGATAGTGCTGTTGAATGTGCCTCGGATATATTACGTCGTACACGATCCAATACTAGTGACATCGTCATACCGTTAACGCCTTGATGATGCTCTAGATTGATCACGGCTTGAACGACATCGAACACCACGATTCATTGCCTGCTAATAGTTCATGCGTAATAAAGTTGTGCAGTAGGTCACGCTGCTTATCATCGCCTAGATCCATGGCAGCCATGGCAGCTGCATCCAGGATTGGACCTTGATACTCAATGTCGGTCGAAATGACCCCCGACATCGTGTATGCCAAGAAAGAACACTAGTATTTATACGTACAAACACCTTATGCTCAACGCCCAGTAAGATACATTCACTTGAGTTACAGTAAGCAAGTAGAATGAAGTGACTAGTGGTAATTGATCGGAAAGGTACGTACAAATATAATAATAAAAAAGCAATCAACGCGCTCATACTCTTCTTTCTTTCTCTCTCTGTGTGTGTATGCATTTGTTTGTATACGGTGATGCATGTATGCGTGATACAGATTGAGCAAATGGTGATGACTCGAGTCCAATTCAAGTCCAATGGCTTACATCATGCCGCTCATGTTTGCTATATTAATCTACAGTGTCGGCTATTCGCCGCTCTCACTCCGTGTTCTTTCCTTCTCTCTCTCTCTCTCTCTCTCTCTCGCTTTTGTTGTCCTATTTTCATATTGAACTCACAAGCGACTATTTAGCAAGCAATACTGCCACTGTTGCGGTCTATCGACATTTACTGTTTATTGTAGCTTTCACCTCTACTCACTTGTATTCAGGTTTCTCCACTTGCTTAACTGTTATCATGTCCTCTACACTTACCACGAGCAACGGCAATCCCGTTGACAATAACCAGACGTCCTTGACCGCCGGTGCCAATGGTCCAGTGTAAGTAGCCATATCATTACTAATTAGCAAGGCACGACACTAATACTATAACGTGTAGGCTTATTCAAGATTTCCACTTGATTGACAAGTTGGCTCACTTTGACCGCGAACGTATTCCGGAACGTGTCGTACACGCTAAGGGAGCCGGTGCTCATGGCTACTTTGAAGTAACCCACGACTTTTCCGGCATTTGTCGCGCAAAGTTCCTCGATCGTGTAGGCAAGCGTACACCAGTCTTTACTCGTTTCTCGACCGTAGGTGGTGAGAAGGGTTCAGCGGATACTGCACGCGATCCACGCGGCTTTGCCGTTAAATTCTACACCGAAGAAGGTGAGTAATAGACATACCACAGTATATTGATGAGCATACATGCTAACTGATATTATCGCAAATCATTCCCACATAGGCAATTGGGATATGGTCGGCAATAACACGCCGGTATTCTTCATCCGTGATCCCTCCAAATTCCCAGACTTTATTCATACACAAAAGCGTAATCCGCAAACAAACCTACCGGATGCCAACATGTTCTGGGATTTCCTGAGTCTCGTACCAGAATCCATTCATCAAGTGACTATTCTCTTCTCGGATCGTGGCACTCCCGATGGCTACCGTCACATGCATGGCTTCTCCAGTCACACGCTAAAGATGGTGGATAGCGAGGGCAAGTTCAAATTCGTGAAATGGCATTTCCTCACCGATCAAGGCATTAAGAATCTTACGACGGAGGAGGCCACCAAGTTGGCTGGCACTAATCCAGACTACGCCACGCACGATCTATTCCGTGCCATCGAGCGTGGTGAATATCCATCGTGGTCCGTCCACGTACAAGTAATGGAACCAGAAGATGCCGCTCATTATCGCTGGAATCCATTTGACGTTACAAAGGTGTGGCCACATGCCGACTACCCGCTACAACCCGTTGGCAAGCTTGTTCTCAATCGCAATCCAGAGAACTACTTTGCCGAGGTAGAGCAGGCCGCATTCTCTCCTTCACATGTGGTACCCGGTATTGATGTCTCGCACGACAAGATGTTGCAGGGTCGTTTGTTCAGCTACCCAGACACGCATCGTCATCGATTGGGAGCCAACTACCTGCAAATCCCCATTAATACACCTTATGCCACACGCGTAGCTAACCAGCAACGTGATGGCCAGATGGCCGTCAATGGCAATGGTGGCTTTGCACCCAACTACGAGCCAAACAGCTTTGGCGGACCACACCAAACGGCGGTGGCATCGGACATGCATGCCGCTGAGAAGTTGAGCGGCTTCACTGGTCGACATGTCATCGACCTAGTGGACGATGACTTTGCACAGGCCGGTCAGTTGTACCGTCTGCAAACACCGGACCAGAAGACTCGTCTCATCGCGAATATCGTCAACTCGCTTAGCGGTGCCAAGGTATTCATTCAAGATCGTATGCTGGCTCATTTCAAGCGAGCTGATGCCGAATATGGTCGTCGTGTTGAACAAGGTCTATTGGCCGCTCGTGCTAAACAATAAGCATAATGATGACTACGCTTTATTTCTCTAAGCGTAGCTGATAATGCTATATGCCATCATCATTATCTACATTTATGTCTTGCTGCTTTATCAATTAATAAACCACTAATTGACCATAATAATATGTAGATTATTGCTAGCTAAATGGTGTATGCAGTATGGAACAGTATTCGTAATTGATGACGAATAAACAAACAATAATGTTCATTAGCACAATCCTCATTCTTATATGACTCAGCGGGAACATTCGCGAGAAGCAGTGACTTTCATCCATTCCACGCTCTCTCCCTCTCCCTCTGACTCTACTTGTATCGTTATCAATCTACTTGTTCATCACTCCCATTCCGTATACTCTCCTTACCAACTCGCAACTTAACAACTACGTAGTGATTCTGTTAACACTAGCAACTATTATTGCACATACGCCATCAGCTTCATCTTGTTTATTAGTATACAATTGTGAGCGTTACTTGTCCTTTTATCAGTATGAACATGCAAAATCTATTCCATAGCGTACGGGAGTATTTGAATCCAGTACTTAAGGAGTCAAAGTTCCGAGAGACCGGTGTATTGACACCTGAAGAAGTAAGTTGTGTGTCGACCACGCTAATGACAATAGCATCTATTGCAGTAGACTAATCAGTATTACCTTGTAGTTTGTAGCCGCAGGTGATTTCCTCGTTTATAAATGTCCAACTTGGCAATGGTTCGTAGCTTATCTAGTTATTGCATGCATATATCATTAGTGTACTTACTCCGTATTCATTCAATCTAGGTCGTCGGGATTAACGTCAAAACGGCGAGACTACTTGCCAGCCGACAAACAGTTTCTAATCACTCGAAATGGTAGGATATATCACATTTACAAATGAAACTATACTGAACTATTGCTCATGTTACATTCATCAATAGTGCCATGCGTGAAACGAGCCAAAGACATGGAATATGTAGGAGACGACGAAAAGGAGATCTTTGATATTATGGCCGCTGATGGCGATGGCGATGGCGATGGCGATGATGAAGGCCAAGAAGGAGAAGGATGGTTGGCCACTCATACGAATCAAGACACGGCAAAATCGACTTTGACTGGAGATCAATCGAATAGCGAAGAGAATGATCATCGGCTACTCGTGAGATACGTGATATTGACGATGAAGATGAGGATGAGGATGAGGATGAGTCACTTGCTGCTAATTTGAACACGATGAACATCTCGAAATCAACCGCACCTACTACAACAGAAGATGCAGAAGATGACTTTGATGATTGCGCCATCGAAGAGGAAGAAGATCCGGCAGCCTTGAAACAGGGCGATATCAACGAGGATAACATATTACGTACTCGCACCTATGATCTTAGCATCACATACGATAAATACTATCAAACACCACGCGTATGGCTTTTTGGCTACGACGAGCATCGACGTCCACTTACGGCTGCTCAGATCTTTGAGGATATCTCGCAGGACCATGCGCGTAAAACGGTTACCATCGATCCGCATCCTCATATGGATATATCATTGGCGTCGGTCCATCCTTGCAAGCATGCCGAGGTAATGCGACGTATTATTGAGCGTACCGCGGCTAGTGGCGTTGAGTTACGGGTCGACTACTACATGATCATTTTCCTTAAATTCCTATCGGCAATCCTGCCCACAATCGACTATGACTACACGATGGCCATGGAGGGTTAGCGCTGCTTTCTAATGTAGTAGCGATTCATTGCGCCTTAAACTATGTTGCTATCCCCCTCTCATACCCCTTCTTATTTTTAATCTATACCAATAAAGTAGGTTAATTAATTTGATATTAACATGAATTATACGGTATACATTGTAAAAATCATAAGCAATAAAGGACATTTAAAATTCATTTATAACTACCATAGCATACAGTATCTTTATCGAGCAAAAAGATAGTCGCTCTGTATCTTCTACAGCGTTACCAATATGCAAAAAGGTATGTAGCAGACAAGCTAGAGACAAAAAGAAAGCCCAATGCGGGGATCGAACCCGCAACCTTGAGATTAAGAGTCTCACGCTCTACCGATTGAGCTAACCGGGATTGTTGAATGTAATCCGCTCCTGTGATATATGAACTTCACAGTAGGATTTCCTCACTTTAACGAATCTCCACCTAGATTTGATCACGTGATGATACACTTGCTCATTACTACGTCAGGATCTATAACGATCACCCACTCGCCTCTTATTCCCTTACACAAACAATCAACAACCACCCGACGATTCAACATAAAGTAGCATTCGCCATGCTACGCTTCCCGCTCATCAACAAGTACTACGCGAACTAGTACATCTTCGACTAACTCGGCAAAGATGCGCTGTAGCAAACTCACATCTACTGCTGGTACCTCTTTACATTCATAGCTGTTCTAGCTATATAAGCGTACTTACATTTATACGAAATAAAGACATTATCTTATCACACACTTACTCATCGAACAATACCCTCTACTCTACAATTCTCTCAACTTATCATAGTGTCTTATCTTAACACGAGCTCTCGAATCTATCGTAACATTATTTCAGGCAGAACAAATTGCCGCGTTACAATTTTGGTGCTCACTACAGGGAGTTCTTCTAGCTAAGACTAAGACATTTATTTTTCATATTTTAGTTACATTTCTACATCAAGTATCGCAATGGACGGCAAGATCGGATGTATGGAAGCCCCTACCTTCGGAGGACGCAAGAGTGAAGACCCCGAGAAATGGCTGAGCCGATTCAAGAAGATCAAACGTGCAAACAATTGGCTCGACGACCAAGCAATCGCAATGGCAGGAGTCAGCTTAGAAGGGACGGCCGAGGCATGGTATGAATCCATCGAAGAAGTGACTACGACCTGGCAAGAATTCGAGAATGCCTTCCGTAGTAAATATGTTACCGTTGGCTATAAACATCATGCAACTAGGCAGCTCTTCTCGTATCGTCAAGGAAAAGAAGAATCCATCGACGAGCTACTCACCACATTGGATAGCCTGATCAAGCGTGCGGAAATTACAAGCGACGAGGTCAAGTTGGAATTACTAGCTCAAGCTATTCGACCGGAGTACAAGCGTGAATTTCGAAAGGAAGGTCCAAATACATACCGACGAGCCAAGGAGTTATTACTGCGAGAAGAAAGTCTTGATTTAGAAGCGCAGGATATCTTACCAAGTATCAAGGCATCCTACGACCAACCAGCGTTAATTGGTCGGACCAAGAGCGAAGAAAGCAAGAGTCAGTCTCTCGAAACCAGCATGGAACGTCTAATGGAGCGATTTCAAGAAATGTCGCTCAACATGATACAAGCCATGGTACAAGAAAAGAACAAACCCACGGAACGAAACAATGAGCGTTCATTCAGCGAAAGACGATGTTACAATTGTCAAGGCAAAGGACATATGGCCCGAGAATGTCCCCAGAGACAAGGAGAAAATCTGAATCTATTAGATAACGATGCTAATGAAGATGATTTGTTCCCCTTAGGAAAGAGGAAAGAACGAGATATAGCTATTCCCGCTACAAGGAAGAACGCTAGAAAAGCCGTTGCTACCGATATGGAAATGGATATCCAAGAACAGACGGTACCAACAACACACGTTGCGCAACCAACGGTACAAGCGAAGGATGTACCACGAAGGAAAGCCCCCGCAGCGAAAGAAGGAAATGTGGCTGCAAGAGTTCCCCGGCAACCACGAATGCCTCCTAATCTAAATTTGGAGACAGACAGAAATGCGTACAAGATTGAGGATCAACTACGTTCGACGCCAGCAAATATCTCGATTGCACAACTGATTTACCAATCACCGGCAATCAGACAACAGTTAGCACGAGCTTTACGACGTGAGATGGATGCCAACAATCTTGATGATGAAATTGGTCACAATTACACTTCAGCTCGACGACGTGTAATCATCAACGGTATAGAAGTAATGGCAATTATCGATACTGGAGCTGCCAGCTCGGTGATCAGCCCTGCGTTGGTCTCACACTTAGGTATACGACCTAGACACCGCGTTGATCGAGTATTGGTCACCGCAGATGGACAACGACATACTCCCCGGCATATGGTGAAAGACTTACCCATAAGTATTGGACCCCTCACTTTACCCGCGGATATCATTGTATTCGAAAGAACAGGTCATCTACTGATTCTAGGTATCGACTGGATGAAGAGAAATTCCATTACACCAGATATCATTCAAAACAAGTTAATTTATCGAAAGGATGGTATAACAATGGAAATTCCCATGAATACGCAGCAGTACGACGATATCGACCCCCTATTAGAGGACGCTCCCGTATTTGCCGCTCCAGACACGCCTCCAACGGATACCGCTAGCATTGAAACCTTATTCGAACATTTCAGTGTACAAAATGAAGGAGTAACTGCCGTGAACAGTCAGAGCGATTCAGGAAACGATGCAGATCTCGATATCATGGACCCGGACGATCTGTTTGGACTCGCAGTCACTACACCAACCACTGCTTATCAACCGTTACCGGAAGACGACAGAGCCCAGTTACAAGCGGTAGTTGACGACTTTAAGGATGTTTTCGCAGAGGAAATCGAGGAATTAGGACGTACAACCGCAGCAACGCACTCGATTGATACAGGAGATCATTCGCCGGTAAGAATTCGACCTTACCGTGTACCACAAGCAATGCTACGTCAAATCAAAGAAGAAATCGAGAAGATGAAGCAAAGTGGCGTAATCGAAGAAGCACAATCACCCTGGTGTGCTCCACTTGTGCCCATTCAAAAGAAGAACGGTGGATTACGTCTATGTGTCGACTATCGAAAGTTAAATGCAATCACTAGAAAGGATAAGTATCCCTTACCTTTAATTGACGAAATCATGGACGCCTTAGGTGGATCATCAGTTTACTCAACACTCGATGCGCGTTCTGGATATTGGCAAGTCCCTTTGGCTACGGAAGACGATCGCGACAAAACGGCTTTTGCAATCCCTGGTGGAGGCTTTTACCGCTTTTTAGTTATGCCTTTCGGTCTAGCAAACGCCCCTGGAACGTATCAACGCATGATGGAACGTGTGTTCGCTGATATGTTATGGAAAAACGTCATAGTATTCATTGACGACATTATTATTTACTCGAAGAATGTGGACGAACATTTGGAACATCTAAAAATAGCCCTCGATAGATGCCGAAAAGTTCAACTTCAACTATCTCCCACTAAATGCTTCATTGGATATCAAGGACTGGAATATTTAGGTTTTCGAATTTCAGCTCATGGTTTAGCACCCACCCCGAACAAAATCGATGCGATTATACATGCTAAACCACCTACTAACGTTACGACAGTTAGATCATTTATGGGCCTGGCCAGTTATTATAGACGCTTTGTGGAAGGCTTTGCAACTATATCACGCCCATTAAATCGATTAATGCGGAAGAATACGCCCTGGTCGTGGGATGAAGATCAAATAGAAGCGTTTCAAACGTTGCAATCCAAACTCGCTAACGCTCCTATTCTACGATTTGTAGATTGGAACTTACCTTTTGTTTTAACTACAGATGGATCGGGACGAGGTCTTGGAGCAATCCTACAACAACGGTTGCCCGATCAGAAGGAAGTTGTTATTTCTTATGCTAGCCGTAGTCTCAGTCAAGCCGAAAGCAATTATAGTCCCACCCACCTGGAAGGACTCGCCGTCATATGGGCTGTAAAGCATTACCGACATTACCTGTATGGACGACGATTTACGCTTAAAACGGATCACTCTGCATTATTATCGCTATTTAAGACGTCAGAACCACTCACCGGTCGACTAGCTAGATGGCAATTAATGTTAATGGAATACGACTACGACATCGAACATATCAAAGGCAAGATAAACCCGGCCGATTACTTATCTCGACATCCAGCTCCTATGGAACAGCATACCGACCTATTTGCAATGTCATTCACCTTCTATAACGCAACTAGAGATTATGTGAACAAAATGGTTTATCCTACCAACGCCACGGAAATTGAAAGAAAGCGATTACGAAGAATCGCAGGAAAGTATAAGGTTATCGATGATAAATTGTATCAAGTTATCAATAATCAGGAAAAGGAAGTATTACATGAGCATAACGCTCACGAGGAAATAGCAAGGATACATAATGAAGGACACAATGGTGTCGAAAATACATGGAGACGTGTGAAGATGCGTTTCGCCGGCATCGGTTTATACAAAGTCGTAAAAGAAGTAGTAAAAGGATGCGACATATGCCAGCGAAATACTACGACGGCCATTAGACAGGAACCTATGCATTCTATCAGTTCCAGTTATCCATTCCAATTACTCGGTGTTGACGCCATGGGACCCATCAACCCCATCAGTACGTCCGGAAATCGATATATTTTGACAGCTATCGATTACTTCACTAAATGGCCTATTGCTCGAGCTACCAAGGATATCACCACTGAGACGGTCATTCGTTTCTTAATAGAAGATGTTGTGGCATTATATGGAGTTCCTCAGCAGTTAATTACGGATCGAGGAGCCGACTTCACGAGCGATTTAGCCGACGAATTCTTTAAGTATTTACGAATTCATCATACTCCTACTACTGCTTATAGACCACAAGCGAACGGTCAAGTAGAACGGTTAAATCGAACATTGAAAGAGCAGCTAACTAAACTGACTAACGGCAATTTACAATGGGATGTAGATTTATGGAAAGCTTTATTAGTTATTCGCACCATGACCAGTGCTACTACGAAGTTTACCCCTAGTCGTTTGTTATATGGTTATGAGCTCAAAACGCCAGCCGTGTGGACGTTGAATACGAATAGTTTCATTGATTCCGAAGAAGAATACGATCAGCGTTTACAAAGTATTCAGTACGAATTACCGAAGTTACGAGAAGTGGCTCAAGAGAATACGCGAATTGCACAGATACGTCAGAAGATTCGCTACGATCGAACGGTTCAACCGCGTTGTTTCCAACCAAATACGGAGGTTTTATTACGGGTAATGGTATCATCAAGCGGAAAATTCACTAACTTGTATGATGGACCGTACAAAGTCATTCGTTTATTACACCCCGGTA